CCAGCAGCAGCAGCAGCAGCAGCAGCAGCAGCAGCAGCAGCAGCAGCAGCAGCAGCAGCAGCACCAGCCAGGCTGGACCACCCCGAAAACTGGAGAGTGTTTATGGGCGGCCACGACCCCGCTGCGCCTTTCGCAGAGTCCCTCATAAACCTCCACAACCACAACGTCATGTGGATGATCTTTGTTACCTGTGCTGTTCTTTGGCCTTTTCGCTGCAGACATTAGCTGCTGCTGCTGCTGCTGCTGCTGCTGCTGCTGCTGCTGCTGCAGCAGCAGGAGCAGGAACGGGGGCACGTCGACGAAGTCTTCACCGTCCCCGCCCCCGACCACGCCGTCCCAGTACACCTACTAGAAACAATGAACACGTCAAGAAACCGGGAAAGCGACGTCTGTAATCGACGACGACGACGTGCTGCTGCTGCTGCTGCTGCTGCTGCTGCTGCAGCAGCAGCAGGAACGGGGGCAGCAGCTGCTTCAGAAGTGGCAGGGGCGGGGGCTGGTGCTGCAGGGTCATGTGGATCTAGAAACAATGAACACGTCAAGAAACCGGGAAAGCGACGTCTGTAATCGACGACGACGACGTGCTGCTGCTGCTGCTGCTGCTGCTGCTGCTGCAGCAGCAGCAGGAACGGGGGCAGCAGCTGCTTCAGAAGTGGCAGGGGCGGGGGTGGGTGCCACAACGTCATGTGGATGATCTTTGTTACTTGCGCAGTTCTCTGGCCTTTTCGCTGCAGACATTAGCTGCTGCTGCAGCAGCAGCAGCAGCAGCAGCAGCAGCAGCAGCAGCAGCAGCAGCAGGAGCAGGAACGGGGGCAGCAGCTGCTTCAAAAGTGGCAGGGGCGGGGGTTGGTGCCACAACGTCATGTGGATGATCTTTGTTACCTGTGCTGTTCTTTGGCCCTTTCGCTGCAGACATTAGCTGCTGCTGCTGCAGCAGCAGCAGCAGCAGCAGCAGCAGCAGCAGCAGCAGCAGCAGGAACGGGGGCAGCAGCTGCTTCAGAAGTGGCAGGGGCGGGGGCTGGTGCGGCAGGGTCATGTGGATGATCTTTGTTACTTGTGCAGTTCTTTGGCCCTTTCGCTGCAGACATTAGCTGCTGCTGCTGCTGCTGCTGCTGCTGCTGCTGCTGCTGCTGCTGCAGCAGCAGCAGCAGCAAGAGCGGCAGGAGGGAGTGGCTGGGGTTGGTGCCACAACGTCATGTGGATGATCTTCGTTACCTGCGCAGTTCTTTGGCCCTTTCGCTGCAGACATTAGCTGCTGCTGCTGCTGCTGCTGCTGCTGCTGCTGCTGCTGCTGCTGCTGCTGCTGCTACAGCAGCAGCAGCAGCAACGGGAGTAGTAGCTGTGGCGGGTGGTGCTGGTGCGGCAGCAGCCTAGCTGGTCTTCGTTACTGTTGCTGTTGCTGCTGCTGCTGCAGCAGGAGCTGCTGCTACTGCTGCAGCTGCTGCTGCTGCTGCTGCAGCAACAGCTCTTGCTGCTGCTGCAGCAGCAAGAGCTGCTGCGGCTTCAGCAGCTGGTGCTGCTGTGGCAGCTGAGCTTCGTTACGTGCGCAGCTCTGCGGCCCTTCTGCTGCAGGCTCTTCTTGCTGCAGCAGCAGCAGCAGCAGCAGCTGCTGCTGCTGCTGCTGCAGCAGCAGCAGCTGCTGTTGCTGCTGCAGCTGCCGCTGATGCGGCTGCAGCTGCAGCGAGGGTAGTGGCGATCCTAAGCTTCAAACCCTAAGTTTGTGAAAACCCTAAACCCTCGGAAACCCTTGCGTAAGAAAGGGTTTACCTTTGCTGTTCGCACGACCCGCAACAGCAGCAAATGAAATAAATCAATTAATAATAAATAAATAAATAAATATAAATAAATAAATAATTAATTAATTAATTAATTAATTAATTAAAATATTAAATAAAATTCAAATAGTTCGCCTGCGCTCTGCGGTGAAGGGAGAGCCGTTGTGGTTTAGGGTTTGGAGTTTAGGATTTAGGGTTTAGGGTTTAGGGTTTGGGTGTAGAACGCAGCAGGCGCAGCGCAGTCTATTTGTTGGTCAAGGGTTTAGGGTTTAGGGTTTAGGGTTTGGAATTTCGCGGAGGCCTGCGGCGGAGCACAATTCCTTTGCCGGGGATCTTGCTTTCTGGACTAGGGTTTAGGGTTTAGGGTTTAGGGTTTAGGGCTTGGAGTTTAGGTACTGCGGTTTGAAAAGTGTCTTGCCATAGTCATTAAACCTAAACCCTAAACCCTAAACCCCAGCTGTTAGTGTGCCAGGGAGTCCTGCGCCTTTTACTGCTTTGTATTTATCATTGAGGGTTTAGGGTTTAGGGTTTAGGGTTTAGGGTTTAGGGTTTGCGTCGGTGGCCTGAGGTTTCCGGCCCAGCGGTCTGTCTGGTGCGCTGCCGCAGTTTCTGGAGAAAGCTGGGACGAAATGGTTTATTTTGTTTCTCGAAATAAATTAAATTCAAAATTTGAATTAAAATTAAAATTAAAATTAAAATTAAATTAAATTCAAAATTTGCAAAAA